GATCAGCCCCTGCTGTGCCCCGCAAGGCTCTGCTCGGCTCCAGCGCTTCCCGTGAACGCGAAAATTCAGCTTTCTGAGCACACTAACAGCAAATTCCGCTTCCTAACCAAGCGGATGTTTTCCTGCCCACCGCATCGCATCGCGCTGTACACAAACGCACGCATCCGATCCGCATGCATTTACCTCCACGCATCCTCTTGTGCATTTACTGCCAATTATCGGTTTCCTTTCCTGCGCAGCAACACCAACTACAACGCTTTCACAGCCCATCTTCAACCAGAGGGCAGGGCGCAATAGCAACACGCTGCATTATAACAATAACAACTGAGAGAGCGGAGCAGGAAAGCCCAGACCCGCCCGCTGTTCCCTTTACGCTGCATTCTTATGTAAAAAGTGCCTGTTTACCACAGTGCTGTGGTGCCCGCAGTGGCATCACAGCGCCCTGTTAACAAAGCCATCACCTACCGAGGCTTTCTGGAGCTCTCTGAGCCTGCTGCTCCTTCGCTCAACTCACTGTAAAATGTAAAAAGAGGAGCAGTATTTGCACAAGCACTTCTGATGCATTTCTTTATTATCTAAATGTCTCCTGAAGGTTGCTTCCAATCAAAATCAACAAGCAGAAATGACATACAACTTTAATCGTCAATATTAATTATTCTGCCTTACTAATTCTGCTAACACAGCCGGTACGGACATCGCCAGGCTGGCTGGATCTTGGCTCTTACAGGAAAAGCTGCTTCACAGAATCCCAGAACGTGAGGGATTGGAAGGGACCTCCAAAGCTCATCCAGTCCAATCCCCCTGCCGGAGCAGGAACACCCAGATGAGGTTACACAGGAAGGCGTCCAGGCGGGTTTTGAATGTCTGCAGAGAAGGAGACTCCACAACCTCTCTGGGCAGCCTGGGCCAGGGCTCTGTCACCCTCACTGAGAAGAAGTTTCTTCTCCAATTTCAGTGGAACCTCCTGTGTTCCAGTTTGTGTCCGTTACCCCTTGTCCTATCATTGTTTGTCACCGAGAAGAGCCTGGCTCCATCCTCGTGACACTCACCCTTTAAATATTTATAAACATGAATGAGGTCTCCCCTCAGTCTCCTCTTCTGCAAACTTTTCCAACCGAGCCATTCTGTGATTCTGTGATTCTGTAAAGGCAGCGTACTCTGAATCAACACCTTCGGCTCCATGCAGTGTACGGGAATCACGGCCCACAGAACGTGTCTGGGGTAAGTTCATCCCTGTGGCACTGCACCAAAAAGGTCCTCTTTTCCCAACAGGTTTGAGAAAAAGGAATTCTTCTTCCTCTTCCATAATCCTCCACCAACACAACAGCAAGGTTTAGGTAAAAGCCATACAAAGCAATGCATACGTTAATGCTCATGAGTCAGAACCTTCTTTGCCATTAGAACACTCACACAAAACAACCTCCCAGGCAGCGAGGGGTGGCGTACGAGACCTCAGCCCATAATGAGTGCAGTCTTTCAACGGGGAGATTAGTGGCAGGAAAATGATGAGACTGACCATGGCAAGTCTGACCTGTTTTCTGACGTTCCTTAAAGGTAAATGAAGCTCCTCGCTAGGTTGGCTTCACTTCCTGTTCAGCCACGGACGCGGAGCAGTCAGGCAGAGTCTTCCTGCAAGAAAAACACAAGCTCATCACTGGCCGGTTTCCTGACAAAACCTCCTGCGTTTCGGTTCTCTTCATTTCGTGAGGAAAGTGCATCCCTCCGAGTGTCCTCTTCTCGCCACACAAAGCACGCTCGATGACCATGAGGCACGAAAACACCTCTTGGTCAAACCTCTCGTTAAAGTTACAAGGTTTGTTTTGTTTCTTTGAGAAGTAAACACATCCATTTCACTTTCAAAACCGCCAAGGTCCAGATGAACAGATCATTAACGAGAAAACATCCCCAGCAATCAAAACGATGACTAAATCAAATGTGTCACCGAACCAGACATCAGCACCATCCAACTCCACCTCCTCCCGGGTCAGCAGCTGCTGTTCCGGTGGCAGAGAGGCCTTCCCACAGCGGTGCTGCTGCAGCTCAGCTGCTGTCACACACACAAACACCACCGAATGAACCGGACCTGCAAGTTGTGCTTCATTCCCCGGGGAACAGCAGCAACCCCAGAGCTGCACCAAGTTGTCCTTAATGCTGGGACTCAAAAAGGCCTTGCAAGGCTCTGCTGTTCCCTCAGCTTTTCCACATCAGTTTAAACGACTTTCTCCTAAATACCTTCTGAGGTTACGCTGCGGTTGGCAAAGTTACACACCACAAACGTGGCTAAAAAAGCCACATTTCCATCATGACACTGATGGACGAATCGATCGTGGGACACCCACACAAACCGCGATTCAAAGCCAACTGACTGTTGGGCGATTCTTTTGGGGAGGTACCACGCAGATCGTCAGGGAGGCTCCCCCTTTTTCAAGAGAAACTGGGTCCCAGTGAGGATGCAGAACGAGATGCAGACTTCACAGTCTCTCCATGGCATTCAAGAGACTCAGACAATCAAAGGTTTTGCGTGAACAAAGCAGCCAAAGAGGCGGCATCCAGTTAATCCTAACGAACCTGCGTCAGAATAGCAAAGAAAGATTCTGAAAAAGGGCAGGGACTCCCGAGCTGCGGTGAAGCCCATTAAACATTGGGCTGTAAAATTCTGGACGTGCTCAGCATCTGTAGTCATCAGCAAAAGACAACACCACGTATGACGAAGCGATGCTACGCCGCTGTTTAGGCTGTTGTTCCGTCACCCTCTCCACCCGAGGAGGGGGAATCAGGAAAAGGACAGGAGACCCGTGGGTTGAAATGGAAACAGACTGAATAAAATCAGAAGAAACTAATATTAACACCAATATGAAGTGCACAAAGTTCTGCTCAGCCCATAGAGAGGCTGCAAGCCGTGCGCTCTCAGCAGTCAATGCTGGATGTCAAACACCGCGAGCACCACAGTCCCAGCAGAGGAGGGAGCAGAACAACAGGCGAGACCCAGAAACGACAACCACTGAGGAAAGAGGGCCAGCCCCAGCAAACTCCCCAATTTACAGCGAGTGTGATATTCATGGTATGAAACACTTCGGTCAGCTCGGTCAGCTGCCCCAGCTCCTCCTGGTTTCTGCACCTGGTTCACACAAACTGCTGAAGACCTCAACCACCTGCACACCAGGGCTGGCCACAAACTAAACCGAAGTGTCTCACCGACTTCATTCCCACCAAACTGTGCCCTGCAGGCTTCTGACAAATGCAGCTTTCCTGAAGAGAAAACCGATTCTGTCGCTCTGTCCCAGCGAAACCAGGACACGCTGTAACTGCACACCTCTCTGCATCAGAGCTGGGGATACGAGGGGATGCTTCATCGCCACAGCAGCCTTCTCAGGTAGGAGCAGGGCAGCGAGGAGGCCTAACCAGAGGCTGCTGAATAAAGTGGGTAAAGGCTACTCAGGCTGTACGTGCGGGTTTACACAGAATTTCAGCACACAGATGAGCTCGGAGCAGCTTTCGTTTCACCACCGTGAAGCGCGGAGGCATCGTCCCAGTCGTGGATGGGGCAGCACAGTCCCAAGCGAGTCACTGTCAAGGTGAACCACAGCCACTTAACTTCCCTGTAAGAAATGTGGCTGCCTTTCCCATCGTTATAATTACAGTACCTTAAGTACATGAAGTACAGAGCTTATTTAGATGTAAATTTATATATATATATATATGAATTTGCACTTACGTTCAAAATACTTGTGAAAGGGGGCTGCATTTCCATGCTGAAAGCTGCTCTTCCATGACAAGGCACCAGTGGTAGTGACCACTGGGAAGTTAACAATTTAGTTTCTCAGAAATCTGGATCGAAGCTTTACGTCAAAACATTGTAGTTTTAAAAACATTCTTAAAAGAGATAAGTGGCAACACTAAGTAGATATTTCAGTCATTTTAATAGTGATTACATTAAAAGATTATAGTTTCCCTTATCGATTTCAGAATAAAGGTCTGCAATTAATTATTAATTAAGCAGTTAACCATTAACCGTCGCGTAGCACCTTGCCAGGCCCTTCTGAAAAGCCCCAACGCTAACGGAGTTCACCAGGGAGCACCCACA